GTGCTTAAACCAGTGAGAAGGGGCATACTATGAAATTAGTATAATCACGATCAAAATTACTCGCGCCAGACCGTGCTGGAACCACCAACCGCCGGTCAAATAGCCCGCCCCGTCATCGCCAATCAGCGATTGCCAGTTGTCGGCCATCTTGCGCGATACAGCATGCGCACCAGCAGCCACAAATTACCACAAAAGTGGATAATCTTTGCTTACGAAGTCTGCACTATATACTAACTAGCTGCTACCCCTACAGTTCGTTCACTTCTCAAACACTAGAAACAAACATTCAACTCCTACCATCAACCCCTATCGTAAATCATACACGAGCATAGTGCACATACGGCGAAAATAAACATGTACAGATTAAGATAAACTTTTATTCCGGTTAAAGTACAATTGCATTAACTAGTACTCTCCATTTAAATGGTAATCCGTGCTCTTACGTTTCCTCTATATCTTCGTGTCCAACATCGCACAGAACGTCGGCATTATTCTATCGCGTTCAAAGAACGTTTTCCATTCCGTGTACACGAAAAAGAAAAAAAACTGCACGCAAACCGAGACCGCGAAACGTAATCGTGCTTCGAAGTCTCTCACGCAGCCTGGTACCAGGTTGTCGTCTTCCATTTACGGCGCAAACCGTGCACCATATAATTATAAGAACAAAATATTTAGTCTACACCAACCTACCTCCATGCGAGCAATTCTTCATAGCGAACTGTTCGCATAGATCCATCCCAAATTTCTAATTGGACCTCGTTGCTTATCTCATTAATGCTGAGAGTCATTTTCTTTGAAATTAGTTAATAACACTAATATACCTACCGTAATATGTCTGTAATTTTCTAGGAGCCGTTATGTGAGCCGACGAATGATAAGCACCCGACTTAAACACTGTCACACATTGCCTCTATTTGGCTCATCATATACTAATTAGCTGCATCAGATAAGTTTGAGCACTTTTCTCGTTGATACACGCAATGTGTACACAATGCACTCGCGGGTGCAATTGGATAACGAGTGGAGTCACATGCACCTTAGGCTTCTCTTAGACGTAAGACAACAAGGATGAAATAGTCGTCCATCTTGTTAGTTGTCTTCAAAGGTTTTACCTTTCCTCAGTTTTTGCCAGTTTCTTGAACTTCCTCAAAATCTGCAAAAACCTTGAAGTACCGAAAGATTTTAAAAATGATATCCGATTTCAAACATCGCAAAACGTTGATGCAGCTAATAAATTTATGTTGAGTAGGTCCGTTGGAATCACGGAACACGCGGATCATCGTTGATCGTCAAGATTTGCATTGCTAAAAGAAGATAAGAAGAAAACGGCAGATTGGTAGAAGGGCGTAGCATAGAAGATTTTTGCCAGTCCTTCCACCGTTTTTCGAGACGTATACTATCTGCTACACCCCAGGCACGAATACGAATTAGGACCAAGTCGTAACAGGATCGAGTCCCGCCGATTTCGAGTATGCTGCCGCCTTGGGCAACGATAAGTTGCTGCAGTGGGTCTAGCCACTGCTCTGCCCTCTGTAATTATACCGTATACAACCGAGCGTTGCCTTGCTCTTTCTTTCTGCGTTACTTTCTCCTTCGTTTTCCACCGTTCTCTTCTTCGTTGATGCTTCTTCTTGTTCAACGCGTGTTCCGCCGACCGCGGTCCCGCCGGGGGCGAAGGTTGCGCTCGAACAGCCGTCTTTCGAGACTCGCATCTTCCTTGCCACCCTCCGCGTTCGTTTCGTTTGCTTTGTTCAGCTTATCGTGTTGCTTCTTCATCGTTAAATAATAATCGCTTTACTTCAAATTCCCCCGCAAATCACTCGATAACTTATGGGACGAAAATTCACTTTCTATTTAAGTACTGTTGTCGATTTGTGTCACGAGGTCCACCTTCATCGATCAAAGCTTAAGGAGAAACCTCGATAAGTATCCGTTGCATACAACGGATTCATTCATTACGTTGATGCGTAATTAGAACATATTCTTAATCAATGATTTACACGAAAAACACACGGTTACACGCGATCGATCGAACATTGTCACTGTATTCGATCTCCAACAGACGTATTATTTGCATCTACCGTGCTCGAGGCACACGATGCTTCAATGTGAACACTCGGAAGAGGATAATTGGTTCGGGAGCATTTCATTCGCGCGATCATCTCGATGCACACTTCGATACACATCTCAAACACTATTTCACAGTCATTTAATATTCATAAAATAAGAAAATCATGGGTTGCGAGTGGTTGGTAGCAACCGTCGGATCTGTTCCACAATGGAGTTCCTTGCTCTTACTCTCCATTCATATGCCTATTACTCTATCGTTGTTAGGCACCGAAGACGGGCATTACGTTGACCCGCTCATGAGGTTGTTCAAATAAAACTCTTTAATCATCGCAAGACTTTACAAAGGTCGGAGCCTAAGGCTACATTGATAAATTGTAGTAATCTTGGATAAACATCATGACTCGTATGACAGGACATCGTCGATGAACATAACGTTTGAACACGAACGGACAATGTTACGTATATTTTCATGTTGCTACAAACGTAGCTGCGTCAACACACGCGTATGAATGCATATGCGATTGCAGTAGAACCATGCACGTTTTTCCAGCCACGTATGCTCAGCTGCGAGATTTATGATTTATTATGTAACAACATCTCTGGTAAACTTTGTTTCGTGCATTCGATGTTTGTAATTATTTCACGAAGCGAGTACTGTTCAAAACATCCGATAGAGGATAACTTGTGTACAGAAGCTTGTAATACATTGTCTGTTAACACGAATCTCTGTAAAATAATCAGATGTCACATACATGGGTGCTCTTCGTGCTAAATCTAGCGATTAAATTTATTTTACATTCGCAACTTGAGATCTGACCAAAATGCAGTCAAGCAGGTGTCTTTTTATGAAGTCCCAAGTCATTGAATGTCATTTTTTGTATTGATCTTGCATTTAATCCCAGAAGAATACCTAAAGGTAGCAGGTTAATTGATACGTGTTTCCAATAGCATTGTTAGCGTACCGATGGCTACTTTTTGGTGAGGAACAGAAGAATCGTGACCACCAAGTTTATATAGTATGCAAACAGTACGTCCATCAAGACGAACAACACACGAGAAGGTTTCGATCGCCAAAGGCTCGCGTGCAACATACCCAGGCGATCAGACGTAGAGTGTTAGAAGCAGGCGTGATACCCCTTTTTGCGGGTTAACCGACGACGATACCATGGCATGCTAACAGTCATGCGATACACTGGGTCACGCATACAAAAATAAACGCGTACGATATTTTTGCGTTCACATATGCCAGGTAGCAATGAGACACTAAGTAGTTCTGAGGTCCTTCCTGTTTGTCAATAATAAAGTAACTGGAAACCCGATGAAAACTTCAGTGAACTATCAAAGTAAGAGGGTGCGAAGGTAATCCACTTTACACGTCACACCTCGTACGCCATATCAGATACTGATTTTGCATTATGGTTACCGGTAAACCGATTGGCTCTCCTCCTAGTATCCACATAGAAACGTGATACGAGTGTTCATATCCACGACAATGTGGCGTTTGTATTTGTACGAAGGGAGCAAGCTTCGGGAAGGGTGCAGCACGCAAAGTCGAGGGCGGCGGCAACCGCAATATTAGATTAATGGCGGATGTACTTCACTTTCGGGTGCGATATCGTTTCCTCGACGTGGAAATTAAGGTTCTCCGGTAGCGTCAAATCAATCATACAAATGGAATATTTCCAGCGATCATCGGTCGTAAATTCGAACGATGCGCTATCGTTTATTTATCAACGTGGAAAATTTAAGTATCGTGTGCATAAATTTACGGTCAATTCGGTGCAGAGAAATATATTCGTATTCAATTCCATTCAGGGAGATAGAAATTCCTTGGACGGTAGCCTTATCTTGCATCAGAGATCGTCGAGATGCGAGAATGCAGATGCTTGGCTAAATTTTAAGAGATCCACTGTACCACAACGACGACGTATCGTCGCGTAGCATAAAGAAGCATAAATCAAGGTGCAAAAAGTAGAAAGTTATAGCCACCGAGACGTCGAGGCAACGTCTTTGCTTGAACAAGCGGCAGCACCGGGATGGCCCCGAGGGCTCAACGAGGTAGAGGAGCAGAATGGGAGATCCCAAGCCTTGATCGTGATAAGATGCAGCGGCGTCGTCAGTTGACAAAGGGTCGTAGGAACGCCCTCTCAGATCCGACGTGCAACCGCTTGCGGGGGCGTACATATTAAAATTGGACCCCCACTTCTGACCCCTCTGCCAACCATTCGCCGATCTTGTTTATTACTGGCTCGTACAATCACGTTACCAGAAAATATGATCCCTTTTACCGAAAAGTCTACCTTTCCTACATCCATTGTCCAGCACCGTACCTTTCACAAACACTAACACTCGAGAATATCGCGGTTAAAATTGATACATCGTAATGTCATTTATTTATATACAACTATACAAAAATGAAAATGCGAAGCTATAAATAATACAAAATGCAACGTGTGTTACATCAATGAAATGACGATTATTCTTTAGCCAGCTGTCTTCTGAACGTATCACACGATGCATCTTATAATTTATAACTTTACAATATACATATTGAAACCTGCAGAAGCTGTTCCTGTGAAATTTGGTCCAACGAAATTCAAGACATACCGATATACGTGAGTGTCGTATTATGATATGTATATTATTAAACAAAAAATATGATGCGTTATAAATATCGTTCTAACCTTTGTTGCATTCCAACATGTTTATCTCGCAAAATTCTATTACATAATCTAAATAAGGTTATACACATCGTTACATACATCGTACATATAACCCTTAAAAATAAATAATAATTTTACCTGAATATTCCTTTTCTTTCAACACGAACAAAACTTTTCCTGCGACGACATTCGTACAGTTCTCGATCGTATCGACTTAAAGTTGCATCCGAATAGCAACCAGTGCTACCCTCTTCAGGGAGTTCAGTAAAACGTTACACTTGGTACCACCGTGAACATGCAGTGTTTGTTTTTACCGCGTTGTTACAGTGTAAACGTCTATTTCGAATTTTGTTCTACTTCGTTTTGAATCTTTATATATTTCTCGTCTAGAAGACGATGTTTCCACAAAGCTCGCAAAGAAAGTATTGGATGTTTAGCGATGAAAATGATCTGACAGCTCTGAGAGAAAAGACCAATGCAGAGTTTATTGAAAGGCATGGGGCGAATATGACGGTAAGAGGATTTGTTTTTATGATCGAATTGTTGTTTTTGTTTGATGTGTTCATTTTTTAATAACTTTTATAAGACTTGATGTTCAATGAATTGATTTATGATTTTCGTGTAATCGTTTTGGAGGTTATACTGACATCTTTACCACTACCGATAAAGCGAAATATCTGTAACGTGTCGATACATATGTACACTGTTTTACATTATTCTTTTCAAGGATGTTTCATTTTGTTCAATATTATGTACCTATTTTATAATTGATGCAGCTGTGTTTATTTTTATCTAATTTTTTTTGTATACAACATATAAAGCCTGAAGAAAGGGAAGAGTATTTCTTATCGCATACTGAGGAACGTACTTTGTTACGTTTCTATGAATTGCAATTGAGAGATTTCTGTCGGCGCTTCAGCCCTCCAATGCCAAGAGCTACTATAGCAACTGCCTTACATTACTTTAAAAGATTTTATCTGAGAAACAGTGTTATGGATTATCATCCAAAAGAGATTCTAGTCACATGCGTCTACTTGGCTTGCAAAGTAATTATCGCATTGTATTCGTTTATTTGCCTGTAAACTTCTGCAGAATGTCACGGGAGTTTCTTTCAGGTAGAAGAATTCAATGTTTCCATATATCAGTTTGTTGCTAACATTAAGGGGGATAGAGAAAAGGCATCCGATATTATATTGAACAATGAACTGCTTCTTATGCAGCAATTGAATTACAATTTAACTGTACATAATCCATTTAGACCCGTGGAGGGACTCATGATAGATATCAAGGTATATCATCAAAGCCTTTATGGCAATAAGTATTGGTTGATCGTGTCAGTTCAATTTATATACTTTTAGACAAGGTATACTTCTCTGGAAAATCCAGAAAGGCTGAGGCCATACATAGATGAATTTCTGGAAAGAGTATTCTTGACCGATAGTGTGTTGCTTTATACTCCAAGTCAGGTTGCTTTAGCTGCAACACTGCATGCTGCATCAAGAGCCTCTGCTAACTTGGACAATTATGTCACTGATATCCTATTTTCTAAGGAACATTTAGGGTGCATAATTGAAGCAGTAAGAAGTAAATATATCTTGTCTCTCCTATATTGCTTATATATATTTTATGTAATGTATACTGAGCATGTAAAATGTGCATTATAGAAATTAGATCAATGGCTAAATGTGTAGAACCTCCCTCTAGGGAAGTGGTAAGGTCTTTGGAAAAAAAACTAGAGAAATGTAGGAACCAGGAAAATAATCCTGACAGTGAAATGTAAGTGTAGTTTTAAGGTGATCTATTTAAGTGGATAACTGTGTGTGTTTGGCTTGGTCTGTGTGTGTACAATTAGGTATAGACCTTTTACCTATTATACAATTGCAGATATAAACAGAGAATGCAAGAAATGCTGGATGAAGAAGACTTGCAAGACAACGAAAAGTATGCTAAAATTATGCAAGATCAGGCTGCACACGATGAGAAGATTTTGGGTGTCAGCAAAGTTCTGTCTCCTTCTGCTCTTTAATAAATCCTTGTTTTTCAGATACTATCAATATCACTTTTTTATACCTTTATCTATTGTACAGATAATAAATAATTTATTTATTTCTATTTTTTTATAATAGCATACAAGAAAGGATTTCACTATTATTTAATAAATAATCATATCAACCTGTATCATTTAGAAATAAAAATATATTTGTTAGTTTTCCCATTAAAAAAAGGAGTTTGTTATTACAACAGTTATGTGTTGTATATTCCCTTATAATAAATGCAACTAACGCTTACTATTGTTTAAACATCTTTTATACATTTAGTTTCGCTTATAGATATTTGGTCTCTCAATTAAAACTTTCGATCGTGATATGTTTTCGTTTCTATTCGTGTAAAATCTGACTACTAAATTGGACCTTTTTTTGTGGTTGACAAAAATACGTATCACATGTGACTATAATTCCAATGACTTCAAACGTTTAAGAGTCCTGATGCCTGAAATCCAACCTTTGATTCAAATGGTATGCTGGGTTGTTGGTAGGGATATTTTGAAAAATCGAAGTCTGTTGACCCATCGTCAAATTACTCGGTAATGGTTGCACGATAGGCAAGGCAGGTGGTAAAGGTACAGTCGCTAAATGCTGAGGAAAGATCGGTGTTCCCGGCTGTGGTTGTCCTGGATAATTAAAAAACCTGCGAAAGATATTTTCTGTTAAACAGAATTTTGATTCTGTTACATTTTAATGTAGCGTATAATAATGAAAACAATTCTTTACCATAAACGATCCCCTACAAAAATTGGTCGAGGCGCTGGAATTCCTAAACTGGAGTAATATTGTTGCGCCAATAGTTCCACATCATTTGTATACTTTCTTTTCCATTTAGTACGTCTGTTTTGAAACCAAATTTTAATCTGCAAAAGATTATGTAGAATATTTAAGACTCGAGAAATAATCAATAGAAATTCAGTAAAATGAACTGTGATCCTATAGAACGTAAATAAATTTGTTTCGTAATAGTTTAGATTATATGAGCAAAAAATATTTGCCCCGGGTGAGGATCGAACTCACGACCTTAAGATTATGAGACTTACGCGCTGCCTACTGCGCTACCGAGGCGGTTGAAATGCAATATGCTAATATGCTAGAAATAGTAAATTTTGTCACTCAATATTCCCATAAAATCGATCATATTGCACTTTGTATACTTTTATTTTCATATCTTTAATCATATTTCCACTTTGTTTATAACTAGAATTCTCAAAATGTAGACCCTGACATATTGTACATTATTTGACCATGACCTGATTTTGGGTGCATTGTATTAAATATTGAAATACAACAAATTTAAAAGTACTTAATGTAATATTGTTCATTTAACAACTCCTACTTTTTTTAAAATGTGTGTTGTGAATAAGTGGATGAGAAAAACTTCATAAATGGAATCGGTCCATTTTCACAAGTGCAATTTTGGAACTTTCGGGTTTTATAAAAAAGTGAAACGAGTGAAGCATAACGCGGGAGAAAAGTGATGTCAGCATGTTGGACCTGATTTCCACGGAAATTTTGTTGGAGGGTAAGCCGGATTCGGAGCATTCGAGCAGTAATATATCCTAATTAAAAAATCGACGCCTCTTCGGTCCGTCGCCTCGCAGCATCCGTCGTCCGGGATGCTTCGTTCTTGTGGCATGTTGGAACGTATGCACGAATCAGAGAAAACGGCGGACCAAGAAGAAGGGACTCCCCGAGCTGGCTCGTTAACTGCGAGAAATATTGTGACAGTTATGTCTGCGCCACGACACGTCTCCTTCTTCCCTCTGATCCGTCGTGTCTGATCGTCCTCCCTTTTGCCATGATCGCAAAGATAATTATCTGCCTCGTTCGCGGTGTCGCGTGATATTTCTACCGTTCTGGCAATTACTACGGTTAGTAACATTCGCGATCCCGGCTATCGCGACTCAACGGAACAAGAAATATCTCGGGCGTAATCGTAAATTAATTAATTTAAAGCTAGCCCAGAACCACGCTACAAAGTAACTCATAGAATTACGCAATTGTCGCGATTTATTTTACAACTGTGGTTAAGGCGAAGATTACCTAAATCTCCGCTAAAAGCTCGCTCCTCGTGTGGGAGGATAATATTAGAAAGCAATGAAACCATTATGCGATAAATGTACGAACAGGAATTGCATAAACAATGCATTACATGTAGTAGAGACTGTATCTCTACTATCTCTAGTATCTCTACTACTACTATCTAAGTAAGACTTTATTCGCGTGTACTCGATGATCAATTAAACATTTCTACGAAAGGAAGAAAGGACTTGTTCTTTTTCCCTGCTAGACGAAAAGGCGTATAAGTGCTAATTGGTCCTAAAGGGCGATCTCCCCTTATGGCGCCACGATGTGGCGCCTACACATATGGTGTCGTTCTGAGCCATAATTCAAAGCTCGGTTGATTTTGAGGAACTCTACAACGAAGTTAAACTATTTCAGGTGGTCGGGACCTACGGAAGTCGTCGACATTATCGCAATTTATTGTGTGTAGTGCATCTTGTTCGAGGCGACTTCCGCGAAACGTGTTTCCTTTTAATCGTAGCAGAAGGATCTCGTTATTACGAGATATAATGATGGTAGTTTTTCACCGTTATAACGGTGCTTTTAGTTGCATCATTTACCGTCATATCCATATTTAGAACGAATAATAAAAGGTTCTATTATGTAATGTACTGATGTAACTGTAATTTTTGTCTGGGGGGTGAACTGGTCTGCAGCTCCTAATAGTGACTCATACCTTATGTGACCATGTAATTTAGTGGTTTGGAAATTTAACAATTTGAAATTTAAAGTACCTGAGTTTCGGTCAATTTTAGACTTTTACTGAGCTGCAATCTCTTCGCAACGCTCAGGTATTTGTTCCTCTCGAATTCCGCTTCCAATGACTTAATTTGTGCAGCGGTGAACGCTGTGCGCGGCCTCTTTTTCCTTTCATCGTCGCTAGTGGCGCTATCATTTTTTTCTTGGACATCCCTATCAACACCTGTCGTGGAGTTGGCACTGCTACTGCTGGTACACGCCTCTGGACACCATGGAAAAGATAAAGCTCAAATGAATAATGATAATTAAACAACGTTTCCTTATCGCGTAATTATCTAGTAATTGCTCGATGTGGTTGCGTTACTGCGACGCGATTATATGGAATGAAAACGCATTATAATTATATGCGCTCTAATAACACGTGTACCGTGTGAGATTAAACAGTAGCCACGGCAAATTATACCGTGCAACTTTGTATTCAATATCACGTGCAGAGTGAGAGACGTTAGATTTAATCCTTGGACAGCGGATGAGGAAAATGTTAGATCTTTAATGGACACATCAAGTTCTTAAATTTTTACCATGAACATCCGCCATTTATGCACGCGTTTTTCATAGAACCATGAAAACGATGCGAACAATGAGTGTTCAAGACTCTAGCAAACCCAATTACCCGTGCAAGATTTCTTTTCTCATCAATCTCGGCAGCTTTTTGCCCGTCGAAGTTGTTTATATTTATATTTATCCCCGGGTTACAAGCTGCTCGTACAAGACGTCGCGCCTCGCCCATGAGGAATGTCCTCGGGGTCTCTTTTAGTCGACTGGTAACAGGACCGCGCTCTAAGCAGCGGGGATCATCTTCTAATTATCTGCCCATTCGTCATCCGACGAAAAACCGTGGCAGCAGGAATATATGACTGCTACTTCAAAGAAAAAAGTCAAAAAAAAGATACACGGTGATACCATAAGAGCCTCGTGAAACACACATTCGGTGTCTCACTTTATCACCTCTTCTTTCGCTTCAACGTTTATTGTTACCTCTTCTCTTTGATGTCATCGACAATTAATGTGTTCAGTATTAATACTAACACGATAAATACGAAAAAAAGTATAATAAATCGAACCTTGAATGCCTACACAGATTAAGAAACATCCAAAAATATTTTTAAATAATTTGCAAGACATGGAAAATCTGAATCTATCTCGAGATTAAGTTCAAGTCTAGTTACAAGTTACTTGCTATGTACTAGAGACTCGGCTCCACCAAACAGTTAGGTCAAGCATGTCGAAGCGACAAGAGTTATCCATCTACGGCATAATCAAACACTGGGGACATCAACTATTTTGGCGTCGATAAATCGATGACTAAAGCTTCCTTGTTCGCGAGAAGAATGGATCAGTTCGGTGGAGCAGTTTCGGTTGGACGGGCAATAAATATCTCGTAAAAGAAAAAAGTGTTCGGTGCGTGATTACTGGGAGCGCAGAGTGTCGTTTACCGGCTACTAATTGTCAGATGGCGACGTAATTGTCGCGTTTCTCGCGCGTTTTTCGAGACTTCTCAGGCCCGTGGTACAGAGCCGTCGGCTAAAACCGTACCGCCTCTAATTCACTCGACGTGAATCCCGTCGCGAGACGTGCACGCTTGTGCACGTGTAAGTTCAGGAAGGATTCCAACTCGAATGCTGAAGAACAGTTTGCATTTAGGATAATAATATCAAATTGTACAAGCTCAGCTTGTTTACATTCTAGAGTTGAGCTGTTGCGCCCGATGCATTAGCATCGTTGCAACAAAACGGCCGAATCAAAGAAAATGTAGGTTTCTCCTATATTCCCGTGGAATTTCGATAGATAAATTACCCCCGAGATTGTATCTTCAGGATCGTCGCTGTGACAGGAAGCGAGTAAATGAACGGAAGAGGAAAATATTTTCGGAGGGTGCCCGTTTCTCTCGCGCGGCTCATTTGTCGTCGACTTTCTGACTCGGTTGCATTGACGAACGAGCTCTGTGAAAAGGGAAGAAAGGGTTAGAGTGGAAACGGTGCAAAAAGGAAGTGAAAAGACTCGGAGGAGCGTGCGATGGAAGCCGAGGAGCACCGCGGACTGTCGCCGAAATAGAACACCACGCCCTCTAGTTTACCTAATTGCCGCGAGCCACGGTGAACTTGTCTCCTAATTATTCGGTGATGAATGGCGAAAAGACAAGTAGAAATGCGCGATAAACTGTGGCTAATTTTCATTCGTTCGTCGTTGCACGATTTCACACTCTCCGGCCAACTAGTGGGATAATTAATCCGTACGAGCGCCGCTTGACGATTGGTCGAACGCTTCACCATGGACAGATTACTTACCTTTTTAATTATCTGCTGTTTCGTGAAATTGATGATCAACGCAATTTATAACTTTATTCAGAAAATTAACAAATAAATTTTATGGTATAAATGAGGTTCATACGGATACAAAGACTTTATGAAATGATGTCTTTTTTGATATTCTGAACACTTATAGATCCAACTGCATGAGTATGAGTATGTTACATAGGAAATGATTAACATCATGCATGAAATAAATAGTGTATTAGAAATAAGAAAAATAGACTTGTATGAAAGATCAATTTTCGGACGAGTTGACTACCGGACTTCAACTTCAGAACCCTCTGTGAATATCGAATTTATTGCTGTATTTATTGTACTGTATAATTCACTATAAATGAAAGTCCTTTACGAAAATTAGCTATTGGCTCCTCCCAAAGAATATGAATGAATTGTGACAATGAAAATTGCTTTCGTTTCCTTCCTACTTTATAAGTATTATATTTTCATTTAAATTGAAACCCGACCTTAATAAACGTTGTAGGCTATCGATTATCCAAATGACGCTCATTGACGTAACAACGTGGAAACTAGAGTGTCTGATTCACCCTCTGAATAATTAATTTTAATCGTAGCAATTGTGAATACTTTTACGATAAATTGTAAGTCGTGTAAAAGTGAAATATTGTGTGGTATCTTGTGCGGCATTTAAGGGAGAAATCGAATGGATGAACCAATAAGACCGAATGGTCACAGTTCGAGTGTTCTTTTTTTTCGTCCCGGACTAGGTACAGCACGGGAGCACATTTTGCTGCGTTTCCATGGCAGAATTAGCAGGAGACAGATAAATAGTGGACGAGGAGCAGGAACATTGAGTGGGCGTGGACCTTGCAGGAAGTAATGGATCAAACTCACGGGTAACGGTCCTCTGCGCAAATTTACGAATTTACCATGCGAAAGGGACGCGATGATTTTGTAACAATCACTTGTTTTGGTAACAATATACGAATTGTGGGGTTGAAAGGTACAACAAAGCAGTATTCTTCAATTATAGATTGCTGGTGAAACATCTGGCGAAGACTTCGAACAATGAATATATAATTATTAATATTCCAAGATTTTTTATAATATTTAAATATTGACAAGGTTCCATTATGTAAACCGTCCATGAGCATAAGTGATTAACTTCGCAAAACTAGAGATTTCCCTTCTTTTCAGTGTTTCGTTCGTAATTAATTAAAATTGCAAGATGATTAAAAAATTAGTATTGCCATTACATTAAAATAAAGCGCCGGATACAAAAGTCGATCTGTTAGATAAGAAATCATGTTCCGCAGAATTATGACATATGCCACGTATGACGAGTCATTAAATTTGTAATAATTGTCGCCTTACTGAAAAACGAGCGAAATTAATTCATGTGCAAAAAGTTTACGCAACACCATTCCGGTATCGTATTCCATAATATTAGTTTTGCTGTTCAATTGAGATATCTTCGTTGATTGTGTGTTTTAAGGAAATGCAAATATATGGCCAACAATGCTGCAAAATGTCTTAAATAGCGGTCGTTCAACTGAAATAACTTTATTGTTGATCGATAACGAATAAAAAACATCTTACGAGCCTTTACTTCTAAATTTTCGCTCGGAACATCTTTATTAACCAACTAATTTGCCAAAGCAAACACAAGTGTGTGGCACCTGTATCATTCGTTCAGTTACGCCGTGTACTTTTACAGAATGCAATCTATGCAGGAATTCAATGTCTCTTCCTTGTTATTCCTATTTTAGTATACAATACCGATCTTTACCGAAACATTTCTTTTCAATTGGTAATTTTACAAAATACTTAATCTCTTTGATGGAAACTTAGGACCAGATGTTGAAGGTGGATTGAATATAAAGACATAGGGGCCCGAAGATATATTAGTCTGGAGATTTAGGGATGTGAGGACATATATGAGAATGTAGAAATCTAGAGATATAGGTATTTAGAGATATAGGGTTCTGGCAATATGGAGATCAAGCCGTAAAAGGGGTCCATATAAAAAAATTTAGGAACATACTTAACTTTCCATGCGACAAATAAAAACTCAACTTACCATAACACATTTCCGGTTCAGGAGATGTGGAACAAACCATGTCGGAGTCATCGAATTCGACTTCTTCCGCCATCGACATCGAGGAATCTGGTGCTACCAGTTTCCGTCCCTCCGAATCATTTGCTATTTAAATTAATCGCTGCATTACGTTTCAATTTATACCCCGTAAAACGGTATTTTTTGTGTACTCACATTCCTGCCCATGCAAATAAACCTCCGTGTGATTGGGTACCCGAGCTTCGTTTTCGATGATCTTCTTGCTGGGTGCAAGAAGACTTTCGATGCTGAACGAACATACTTTGGGGCTTTCGATTACTTCGGTCTCTTTGGTGCATTCAGATGTTTTCGCGCGTTCCTCCATCCTTTTCAAATGCCTGACACTACCATCTAGATCTTATCACTATTCGGTGCTCTAATCGTGCGATGATTAGAACAATTAGTTATCTTGTAAGATACTTCAAGAGATATGTGTCTATTAAGTTCTAGTTAAGTTCTTTTAAAGTTCACTGCACATGGCTTCCGTCACATATCACTAGTCACGGTGACTACCTGTTCAAAGTTATCAAAAATTGAAATTAGCGAAACATTCTGTGGTTTACGACTTTCTTCGCAAATTGCAAATCGATCGCAGATAGACCCCCTACGATCCGTTCGCGGGATTAGAGTCGAAACCAGCGACTGTTTGTCGGAGTTGCTCACGATGTCCAACAATATTTTATTTTGGCAACCAACTCAAATTCTTCGTTCTTTAAGGCGGTGTCGAAAAGCCACGTGCTCACGACGTCATTCTCTGCTCGACCAATCTGAAATAAGCTTGGGCGGTTCTTGGCAAGCACGTGCGTTCTGGAAGGAGTCCCCCTAATGATCTCGTACCAGCAAGACGGTAGCAGTCACTAAACGGTGGTAATGAGGTATCCATAAATTTCTGTCAACCTCGTGAAACGCTATTTAATAATCGTTTTGACAGAAGTCAGCCGTGATTCGAAATCAATTTTCGAATGTGTCGCGATGTTCGAGTTCAAATAGCGGGAACTTTTTCACTCTTATCAATGAATTAATTGTATTGTAATCATTCTCATATTTAAATAAAGTCCAAGGTGAACATCCGAAATTATGAACTTACCCTCTCTGTATAAAATAAAAAATATAAGACGTAGAATACCTAATATCTTGAATTAGTAATTTGGACTTTCGAAGTGATAAATTTTTGAACTTTCCAATTTTCTAATTTTCAAAATCCTAAATTTTCAAATTTAGCCGATGGCCAGAAGATACTTTGTACATCTCAGAACACATGCGTCGTGTATCATGTTACGTACTTATAAATATTGCTAGAAAATCGCAAATAGAATAGTATGAAAAAGTAAATGACTGAGTGTATTATTAGACTAACCCACTCTGCATCGTTTGGATTCCAATAAATTCACATAAAACTTTACGATGTGACAGGCTTGTCGTTTATATAGCTGACAATCCGGTCGTAAGTTTAATGAGATTATTAGACACACAATTGCATGTATTAATGCAACGATGATGGGGATGATAGAGTGATACAAGAACTGTTGACAGACATGAAACTTGGCTGCGATTATGAGAACCAGCAAAGTACATTGCAGAAATTTGTCTCGAACTTCCAGTAGCCAAGACGAGATTCTTCTGTGTAAATTGCGGATGAAAACATCGGAGCGAGCTACATTTTGAACAAAATCTATTTATACAAGTTGCATTCGATTCACGAGACCTCTCGTACTGTTTAGTTAAGCTACATAATAAATGTGAATTTAAAGACAATGCAGCAGCGAGGTGCAGAAGCGTTGGAAGGACCAGTAGGAGTGCCCGCAAGATCATGTTACCCAGACGACACTCCTCCCGCAGGTTTCCGAATATGTTATATTGCCAGAAAGCTGAAACCTTTGGAGGAACGAGTCAGCCAAAATGTTTGTCAATTTAACGCTTAATTGGTGCCGCAATCGACACCAACGTAGCAAGTGCGTAAATTATTGGTTCTTCTAAACGCGTCAACCGCAAAACAAGACGATGCAGACAGTTTCCTGGCATTTGTTTTCCTCGCCTTGAACATATTTTTGGAGTCAGATTTCGTCAAGCGAAAAATCTCGCGTCATCGTTCCATGTTCTCACCGTTGTAATAAACCATCGTGTATCATTTTACTCGGTCCGCCGGCGCCATTAACTCGCGGAACGGAAACCATCGCTCTTCGAGAGACGGGTGCAGTGTAAATAAGATTCTTGTCAATTTTCTATATGTTTATTTTTATATATATATGTATATATTAACAGAATAAAAGGCCATCTGCTTAATACAATATTTTGTCTTCGACTATAAAATTAAGATACAATGTGGTTGTATTATTCTTAAGACAATCCTTATTACCACTCAAAAATATACAATAACTTCGATTAGAGTAACAGATCGTCGTGTTCGTAGCAGGGAACACGCGATATCCAATTGCAGTGCAATAGAACGGAAAGGTATAAAAGTTTAACAAAATATATCGCATATATTCATAAGTTTGATCAATGAAACAGCAGAGCCAGTTGAAGTTTTATCGATCTAATGATAATTCACATTTGTTGCGTTGAATTACCGTTCCATGTATTGTTCTCATCGTTATCGTCCCCACCTGAATGTAATCTGTGTATATTCCCTTCGGTTTTGATGGTGGTACCTTCTCGGTTACTCGTATATCTCCGGACCAAACTAAACACCATAAATAATTCTTTAGTAAATACTTGTAACCTGAAAGCCATGAAATGGCTTGAAACCTACTAAGGTCATGAAACCTACCCTGATGAAGTAGCAACATTTTGAACATTCGATGAGACCGTTCCACTTGCGTTACTTGAATCCTTGTTGTCGGTAGAGCTACTCTGTTGTTCCTGTGAATTTCTACCTGTGAAATAACTCACCAAATAAGAGTACATGTGCGTAACAACTGCGAAAATGGACCACACGAATCGTGGCATAAGGCTAACATCTTGTGTCGAGGTTACGGTTGTCGTGGTATTCGACTACAAACAATAAATTAATAAAATTAATAATGTTGCCAACAGACGAAGCAGTAAACATATTGTTGATTCAACATTACGTTTTTCAAAGGCAGAATTAAAATAACGGCTGTTGGAACCAGTTCCAAATCTAAGAGAGTTTTGTCGTCGTCTTCGCTAGTTAACTCTCTTCTAGGGAAAGAGGTAGACATTGCAAATTGACGAAAAGGTAACGAGATGTTCTCAACAACGTATGTACGCAAATTACGTAAAGTACACGTTGGATCGAACTGTCCCATGTGAGGATTGCCAGATGGTAATCGAAATTGTATTCTGGTTACAGTTGCATCGTGTGCCGTGGGTATGTATGATTTAGGTAGTTCCTGTGAAGGTTGTGGCTGCATTTGCTGCAATATTCAATTCGTTTATGTACGTTAAGGCTTGTAAAACTTCGTAAATAAAAAATATATACTAACCTGTAAAGCTAGCTCCTTTTGCTTCCTTTCTAATTTATCCTGAGCTATCTGTTGTCGGATCTTTTCTCGGTCTGTTAACTCCTGTTGTTTCTGTTTAATTCCTTGCATGTCGCGTCTCATCTTCCGACGCTCTAGTTCTCTCTCCTTCTCTTTTCTTTCTTCCTCTTCTATGCGTTGCCTTTGTTGCAATTCTATCATTTTTCTTGCTCTTTCTAATTTGTCCTAAAAACTCAACATTTTAATACCTATTGCATTAATATAAGTGATTTCAAGGGACCACGTTGAGAACATACTTCTGTTGATAATTCTTTGGCTTGCTCTTCCTTTTTATCGTTCACTGTTTTTGGGGTTTCTGTGGCTTTCAAACTTGTGGAGGGCTGTTCTTTAGTATCATTTGGAATTACATTACTGACATTTTCTGATTTTGTCTGTGGTACAGATGTTTCTGTGTTTGATTTTGTTGTCTTAGCTCCTTCTATATTAACGCTTCCACTGTTAGTGGCATTACTGGTAGCAGCTGCTTTTTGTTCAGCATTTATCAAATTAGTGGAAGTATTTTTATTCTTCCCTGCTTTGGATAATACTAAATCAATCTTAGCCAATAGGTCAGCCGATGTTGTATTGCCAGCAACAATTTCCAGTGGCATACCATTCTCACCGATAAAGAATAAAGATGGAACAGGTACCATTTGATCTAATCAAGCATATTCAGAAACATATAAAATATCTATGAATAACCATAGCTGTTAAAAGTTATATAAAAGGATACAAATTTGAACAAAAAACACATAAGATTCAGATCCACTTTCCAATCTAATTGCTACAAAATCTTCTTGTTCCAACCGGTGCGATACTTCTGTGGCATTGATTGCTTCAGCAACTTGGGTAGATGTGTCATCTTTCCCTGTAAATAAATTGCAAAATATACCTGATTTATAATATAGAGGCAACATTTAAGGTCATAGACAAAGGTGCAGGTTACATAAACAGGTTTCTAATTAACAATATGATTCATCTTATTGAAAAATAAATAATAACAGTTGGAATAATGACTGCTTAACCTAAGATTCTAAATATACACCTTCAACAAAAACGACAAAAATTGCTCTTCTAGATTTTGATGTTGCAACTGCTTCATTGATGCTACCCTCAAACCACTTCATTTTTGTTTCTGTGTAATTGGAAATATCCTTGTTCTATTGCACTATCGGTTGATAATGACGTAATGAAAAAGTAGTTTAATCACTAGAAATTTTCTATAGAAGTTGACGTTTCAAAATCTGAGTAAGGTTTGGGTAGGTGACTATGAAACTGTATCAGAACCAGCTCTGTACATCGAGGAAGTGGGTTTATATTTATTTTAAGTGCGCAATACGTATGATAATTTAAGTAACGAAACCGTTATCGATTATAATATTGCATAAATTTGTTGATATGATTCCTGAGTCACGTTAATTGCCATTAAATGTTCGTGTCATGTATTTGGTCTTAACCAATTAAAATATAAGTTCTTTCGGAAAACGGACAAATTCGGTTGGTTGAAAGTCAGCCTTTAAATTTCAAGGTTAAACAAGAATCAGTGGAACTGAACCATTTTAATAATGGTGGCGTGTAAATAAGAATGGTGGTCCAAACGAGGGACAGTGCATAAAATTTGTGTATGAACCATTTGTTGCCTTGCCTTTGGAACTAATACAGCTGAATAATGGCTCAGTTTATGAAAAAAGGTAAATATAATTTATGTTGTTTCTCGTTTATTACGCTGGAAACGTATTCCCTCGAATACTGAAACGTGAGAGCGGTCATTGGGTTGTTTTGTTGGCCACACTGTTTGGATCGCCATATTTCTCTGCTTTCCGTTAGATCGGTACAAGGAATAGCGGAATAAAATGTGGTAATGGCGAGTGCGTCTGTTCCGTATATTTGATGTTGTGATAAAGTTGGGCGTACGCGTCCACCTTATCAGTCGTGACAAAGTTTTTCATTCCGAGTATGTTCACTTAATTTTGGTACTTACGCTTAGTTTTTATACAAAGTTAATCAACAACAAAAAGAAAAAAGTGATTGGTGTACTATGTCGGTGATTCATTATCAGAATATGGAAGTACACGACAGATAGTACATGATAATTCTATTATACGAAGAGAATTTACAACTTTGTATATTTCACGATACGTGCATCTGTTTCACCATACCTGATTGTTAATATACAAGAAATAGTTTTTGAACGTGTTATAGCATTACGAATAATCGATACGCGCCCGTACACGTATAACAAGATAATATGAAATCGGAGCGAGCATGAAGGTGACTGTGTGTTTCGATAACGTTAGAGTGGTGGTTCCATGCGGGGATGGAACCCTACTGGTTAAAGATTTAATGCATGAGGCTATTCTAAGGTATAAAAAAGCAACTGGAAAAAATGATAGTGCATTGGCCATAAATAGTTTGTCTTCTCTGACTGGAGGTGGCCTATTGGATCCAGATGATAGGTTATGTGATGTAGCCGATGACAGAGAACAGATTGTTGCTCATTTTGTGAATACCGATGTTGTGCATGTTGGTGGTGATGGAGCAAGTTCAGTTGGAACAAACAGTCCTGACTTTTTCCACTCGGATAGCAAAGAACCATCCTATGCAATTGATACACATTCCTCCATACCTCCCAGTATAAAAAGAGAAAGTACTAAAAGATTGTCGATGCATGCATTGTCGACTAGAGAACCTTGTCTAGCCACATATTCTGCTCAGTCCCTTCCCAGAGAGTCTCGTCGCAGAGAACCACTGGGACAAGATGCCAAAGTATCATTTGATTATGCAAATGCCAATATTGAAACTGGGAATCAGGGAGAGATCAAAGAAATTGTAATAAAGAATGAAGCAGGACCACTGGGGCTTCATGTGGTGCCATGTTATGATTTATTGGGAAACGATCAAGGGCTCAGGGTTGAAGGCATTGAGCCCAATGGCAGAATTGCTAGAGACGGTCAAATTGATCTGCACGATAAGATTATAAAAATAAATGGTCATAATCTGTTACATATACCATTTTCCAAAGTGCAAGACATTTTTCGTACCTGTATGACTGAACCGTGTTTGCAGATTTCTGTTGTAAAGCATAAAAAATTGCGTGAGAAATCATTGCATAAAAGTCATGGGAATACCAGTGGAGAGAAGTCAGAAACTGATGATAATGTTAAAAGACTTCAGTGTAGCAACTATAACTTGTTACAGACTGCTAACACACGTAAGATTGGGCGCATGATAGAAATAGAATTAACTAAAGGTAGCAATGGCCTAGGATTCAGTGTCACAACGCGTGACAATCCTGCAGGAGGTCATTGCCCAATATACATTAAGAATATATTACCAAAAGGTGCTGCTGTTGAAGATGGTAGATTAAGGCCTGGTGACAGACTGCTGGAAGTGAACAATAAAGAAATGACAGGTAAAAGTCAAGCAGAAGTAGTTTCCCTTCTTAGAAGTATTCCACCTGGTGGGAAGGTGAGAATGGTGGTCTCCCGCCAAGAAGAAATCTCATCCAGTATTCCTGACTCTCATTCCCATGTTTCTCCCACAAGTCAAGCTTCAGAAACCACAGACAATTCAAAGTATTGGAACACGTCAACTTCGCCAGTAAAAAAGAACATCGAAATTCAAGATAAAATTAGTACTCATAGTTACGAAAAGTGCTCGTTCAAACCAGTGAAATCTACATCAGAAGACATTGTTCTATCGCCTCGTAAAAATCGGATGATATTAACCTTAGATATACCGGTGCACGATTCGGAGAAAGCAGGATTAGGTGTCAGCGTCAAAGGAAAGACGACCAACACCGACGAAAACACGAACATGGATTTAGGAATTTTCATAAAGAGCGTCCTTCACGGAGGAGCAGCGTCCAGGGACGGGAGATTAAGGACCAATGATCAATTGCTCAACGTAAACGGGGTATCTTTGTTAGGACTGTCAAATTCAGACGCAATGGAAACACTCAGAAGAGCGATGCTCAACACGAACAGTTCGGTAACAGGAGTGATCACCCTGACCATAGCCAGGAGGATATCCTCGTACGACGCGAACGAAAAGAATCTTCCGGAAAATCTGTCTTCTCACTGTAAATTAGAGTCTGCCAACAGCATATACATATCCGACTCCACGAAAAGCAACGAGGGCAGGATAAAGGAAAAGAACAGCCTGAACTCCCAGTCGGACATTCTGGACAACGGAGGCCTCTTATCTTGCGTGACAGCATCTCCATGGAATCCAGTCATCGATCGATTAACGGAACAATACAACAAAAATAGCTTGAGAAACGAGAGTTACTGCATCGCCACCAACAAAACGTGGATAGAACCCGTGAGTAACGTGAAGAAGATCACTATAGGACCAAGGGAGGATCGCGCGGAGCCAATATTGTTAGAGGACTCCAACGATCCGCAGTGCAATGAAGCTAAACGAAACACGGACGACAAAGATAGTCAGTATTCCGGAGATCCGACTTACGACAGTCAGTTGTCGTTAGAGGAATTTAACTCTTCTTCCAATAAGTTTTCCCGTGACGCTTTAGGTAGGCAGAGCATGTCGGAGAAGCGACACGCGGCTCTGGACGCGAAGAACACCGATACCTACAAGAGAAACAAGAAACTACGAGAGGGCCGCGAGAATAAAAACCAAGAACAGGCCAATCAGAAGTCGTCCAATCAATCGACGGATTCAGAGGATCAGACGAGACGAGGATGCAAGGCGGAGAGTTTCGAAAAGAGCAAAAACAAAAACACCGAAGGCAGCACCGCCAGCGAGAATAACATGAAACGATACGAGAAATCCGTAGATCCTGCTCAATCAGAATATATGTACACTATACCTGGCTGTAATAATAAGTTCACCTCACCGAGGAAACACTGGCTCGTGGACGACGTACACGGGGATATAGCTAATAGCAATAACTTTAAGGACGATCGCGAGGGTTTTCCGAACAGTCGGGGCGATGTGAAGCAGGCGTCGTTGAATTCTGCTTTGGACGATCGATACAAACGCTCGAGAAAAAAAGGAGGTATCCGTTCGATGCTACGATTAGGGAAGAATAGAAAATCGCTCAATTTCGGTGATAGCATAGAAGCTCGCCACGAGACTAGCAATTATTGCAGCGGAACGATCAATTATATTGCATAATATTCGAGGGGAATTTAACTTAGATACGAAATACATAAAACGTACTTGTGCATAACATCTAGAAACACACATATTTACACGAGAGGATACACGTTTTTTTTTAACACTCATAGCACGACCACGCGTACACGTACACTCGGGTGCAATGTAGGCTTTCTTCGGATAAGGGTTGGTGTAGGGTTTCGATTTTAGTTCATATAATTTGAAATTTCCTTATTTCTTTAATGATCAAATTTCCAAGTTCTCTAAGTTTTCAGTTTTTTCAAATTTTTTAATTTTAAAGTTCAACTTTAATGTTTCTGAATTTGCAAATATTCTAAAAAAAAGCGAGGTAAGGCCATTTTCCTCTACATCGTCGTATTCCCTAGGGAAGCCTACCATGCTCACTACTGTACATATTAGGTATATATTTACATGTATCATTTGTTCCAAAGTGCCTTATATCGTTGCAAAAGAAAGTAATTAATTCTGTATATATATATTATATAATTTTTTGTATTCGTCCTCAATTCGTACCGATCATGTATATCTATTTTTTAAAATAAAACAATCATGCACTTAATTACGAGTAATGTGTGTAAGTTGAATGACCGATACGTCAATTATTCCGTCGTTACCAATAGAACTCAGAATTCCGTCTCGTTGAATCGTTGCTAAACTTGTCGTTGACACGCGTTCAGACAAAGGAAATGGTATTCGATACGAACAGTGTGCAACGAAGCCCAAAGAGTATTACGGTAGGTAAGTCGATTAAGGGGGCGACGAACTGGTTTATTTCTTCCAGGAAACATAGTACATTCTTTTCTGTTTCAGCGCTTCAATTAACACCAAATCAATTGTTGTACCAGCAGAAGCGTTTCAGAGGGAAAATCAATTTAAAGAAGCCAAAAATATTTTTCAAGAAAGCGGTAGTGAACAAACTTGTAGAACCATTTTTCATTAATCCCAGTGCGGGTAAGAGTCTGGAAGAATTATGCTGGAACAGGATTGAAAAAGAAAAGATTAAGGAACTTGGTCCCTATGACAAGATCTTGGCAAGGGAAGTTCGGAATTGGTTCGATCAGTCGAAAATGATCGCTTGTTTACACGTAAATAGTTTACCCGAGAGAGAAAAATTCGAAGTTAAGGTACCACTGTACAGGGCAAATATGTACTACAAACAGTATGGACCACATATTGTCTTTGAAGCGATAAAAGATTCACCATACGGAGGTATAGCCCCGTTAGTCAGCAAGTGCACGGCGTTCGTATTCAGTCCTGATATAAATGTGCGTGCCTTGCAGAAGATTATAAATAAATGCAAGAAGATGTTTACGTTGGGTAAGTAAAATGGCGGAGATAAGTTCGTGAACTCGTGGATTAAGTTTCGTTGTTATCTGAAAATCGTGTGCCACATTTCACTCTTTAATTAGACAACGATGGCATTTATCGGGACGCATTGTCGATGTTTGGCATGTTAACAGCGACCTTAATAACCGAGTACCTATTTCTATGTGATGATAACACTAGCACGTCAATTGTATCAGTTTACGTTTGTATAGGAGTCTATAATGTGTACTCAGGTCAGAAGGTAATCGATCGGTGCTGTTTTTGTTGCAGGTGGAATACTGGAGGGGCATGTTTTATCGCACGATGATTTCCTGAAGTACGGAGAAATGAACATGACGTCGGTACAATTGGGTCTTGTTCAATTGTTACAAAACGCTGGTGGCGCTAATTTGAATCGTCAACTTACACATCATCAGTCGACATTAGTGACTCGGCTAAAACAGATCGGTACAAACGAAACAACTTCTGCGAACGATACAACCTCTGACAAGAGCGAGTAAATCGGTGCCTGTATGATTAGCAGAAAAACACTTGTATCTATAATTTATTATACGTTCATAATGCACACGATTCTTTATGTAAAGTACAGTTCATTGTCCCGAAATCCTTTCGTCGCGTTAGAAAATAAGAAGAATAGTAAGAAATCGAGGTGTCCGCCTCTTTTATTGCTTTTATTACATCCAATTCCACGAAGGACGGTTCCGCGATAAGGTTAATCGTTGAGCAAGCAGCCTGTGTAACGTATACGTGTTACTTATCAATATCAGCTTTATCGGTTATTAAACTTCGTTATTACATATTAAGCCGTTGACATTTTTCACTAGCAATTTATCTCGATGTCGTGAGACAATTGATAACAGTTCATAAATATCTTGTCGATTTTATTGTGTGCCACGGTAATTCTGTTTATCGACGGTGACTCAATGACAATAGTTGCAACGAGGATGGCACTTGACTCCATTTTCTCCGCATCTGCAGCCTCCAGAGGTGTCTCCTTTCCCCTGCAAGAAAAATAATATGTAAGATCGCTGTAAACGTGGTGCCCGAAATAATCGAGTATCGATTACTCACTCCAGGACCCCAACGTGGACCTCTCGTTACCCAACATATTTCGGTTTTGCACATGGAGCAACGTAACCAATCGCAGCCCCACTTTTTCATCAACACAACAGCACACGTGGGACATGCGAGTGCTTCGCCTCTGTCCACCATTTCTTCGAGCATTTCAGCCGTTCTTCGTGATTCTTGATCCGTTTCCTTCGACAACCTCAACTCCTGCTGATATTGTTTGCAATTTTTACCAGCGTGTATGGCCTACAACAAACATTGACTTAGAACTTAATTTAATATAATTGTAATCATGAAGTGCAATTATTCTGACCTGGCAAGTGAGACAATTGTTTGCACCACACACTGGACAAAGAAAGTTGTTCACGTCATCGTCGTAGATGCACCAACCAGGACAATCTGGCGTTTTACAATGGAACGCATTGTTTCCAGCGTTGTTTTCCGCTTGAGCAATGGATTTTGCGAGATGTTGCTGGTAAACTTCTGGTTCGACGAGCTGAATATGGATTTGATTTGTCACGAATTGTTGTAAATTTTTTTAATATGATCAACTTACTGCTTTGATCTCACGCTCTTGGAGAGTCGACTCACAGGTGTACTCTGAGTCTCTGTAAGGACATTTCACCTCGGCTTCTTCGCAGTATCTAATAGTATTAGCAATACATGACCTAGAAAATATTAATGAATTGTGATCAATCAAGCTGGTTCTAATTTTAAATCTTCATTAACATTTACTGTGACACTTGAAACAGTTCTATCTAGTATTAATTCATCGTAAGACTGTAATTATTAATGATTTTATTTTGGAGTTCAGTTACGCTAATCGAGTTAAATTTATATGAACTTTTATTATTTAGAACTATATGAATCTTATTTATCTGAATTAAATTCGTAGTTGTACCTGCAAAACATATGTAAGCAATCTCTCAATATTACACCTTCGCGTGGACCGTATGTAACGAAGCATACGGGACATTCGATTGGTTCTGAATTCGGTATTACGTCACAGTTTTCCAAAGAGATCAATTCCTCGTATCGTTCCATTCTCACTTCCTCCGGTGTATTCCTCTCCCCCGTCTCCTATTCGCAATTGTTTCATGAATTAAACAAAATGTTCGTATTTGTTTGAATTATACATTCAAATTAATACCTCGGGTTCTTCGACTACTTCGTGATCCTCTTCCACAGTTTGCAATACTTCCGTGAATGTACTCGCATCGTCGTTTATCACATTTTCTGCCTCCTTTGTACCGCTGTCGGTGGGCTCCTCTATCTGTATCACATTTGTCGATCTTAGTTCTGCAAATAAATTCAAGTTCAAATTATCACTCAAATTTTTAAATGAACATTGTTTAAAGGTTGAACATTTAGAAACTAATTCAATATAGTTTACCTGGCGCAACAAGATATAAAAATATCGGTGATCCATCCACCGCCTGTAATTCTTTCAAAGTGGCCTCATCGCGGTCAGCCAGATTTTTACCGACGATCCATCGTTGCACATTAGTCGGTATCTCGAATTCGGTGTGTATCTTCGTCTTCAACTCGGCCACCGTCATCCTGCTCGGCAACTGTTATTATATTTTAGCTTAGTAAGGCATCTAATATCCTATAGTACCGATAGCAAACTAGTATACACGAGCACGTTGATTTGAGTAGCTAGATGGTATTTACCTGAAGAGGTATAGGTCCCTGGTGAGCAAGCTTGTCCTCAATGTACATATTGACTTTAATCAACTGATCTTTGAGACGAGCCGATCGTTGTCGAATCACGGAACAATGGATCTTGAGTCGTGCCAGCTCCTTCGCCAACCCGGCAGCTTGTTGATGATGGCCAGACGCGATTGCAGCTTCTAACTTTCTGAGTAATCGGTTTATGGCCAGCGTATTCATGTTTTTCTCCGCTGAATTGCCGTCTGTAACAAAATCAGGACGTTGATTCAACAGCGGAAACAATAAAATTAGAAGTGGCTCAGACTGTTGTAGATAGATATAATACGTTGAAACATTAATTGTTAAGCAGACAATTAGCTAATTGGCTAAGTTACGTCCTCAGATCGATATTCTGTACTGGGTATAACCAAACGATGACATACGAGTTACATTTCGCTACCACCCTCATTTTCTTATCTCACTGCTGTTTTCAGTAATAACCACATGCGTTCACAATATTTTCCGTTTCCAAATATGACAAGGAAGATTATCAATTTATTTGAAAGACTAGATGAATCTCCATTACCTTCCTCACCACTTTCAACAGTTTCTTCCTTTTCCTTCGATTTTTGTTCGGCAACCACCACAGGTGCAACGATCGTTTCATTGGTATCATCGGGTTTCGTAACCCTCGTCGAACGTTGCTTGGGTAAAAGCGGAACATGAGCATTGGCATAAAGCGATTGCTCCATCACGTTCGCGTAAGTGTTCTCGTTGCTGCAAGCGGTTCTCGTTGTTTTCGTAGCCTCGATTTCGGCGAAGTCCCGTGGCCGTATCAGTTGAAACGTATTTTTCACCAGTCCCGAACCACCCATGTTCTTCCCTGACGTTTTGTAGACGACATTCTCCTGTTTCCATCCAGAGGTGGACGGTTGTTCTGCGGATGGTTGATTCAATCTTCGCAGATTTCCACTGGTTTGCACGGAACACGACACCTTTTGCTTTTCCAGCTCGTAATCGTTTTGCAGCGCGATGTTTTCGACTTTCGTTACTGCTGAAACGAAATAGGTGGGTTTATCCTGGCTACCTATTTCTTTCTTCTCGTTGGTATTACGCATCGCGATTTTACCGGGCTTCGAACGCTTCGGTAACGAGTGTTTCATTTCTTTCAACATCTCCTTTAAATCCGTTGTAATTGGATCCTCGACGGTGTTCAGAATCGGCGATCTCATCTTGTCCGATTTCGATTTCACGTTCGTAGTCGAACGAGCGTCCTCCACGAGTATCGACTTTTCCTGCTGCACGGACGTCTTTGTCTTGGCGTCCTTTTCCGCCTCCACCAGGATATCGAGCACTTTAGTTACCTTACTTGATATTCCGGCTTCCTCCTCGTGAACTTTGCCCCGTTGATTAGTGGATGTCGTGTTCGTCTGGTCCAAACGACGATCGATGAATTTCAACTCTTTCATACGTAACTGCTTATCGATTTCCTCGAAAATATCCGAGAACTCTTTCTGCACACCGTCCAATCGTTGTTTGTCAGGTTTCCTGGGTTCCTCGGCGATGTTCAAAGGCTCCTTGTTTTCCACAGAACCACGGGACAACAGGTACCTCCTCGGATCCGCGTTGCTCGTTTTAGCTTCCTTTTCTTTCTTCTCATTGATCAGTTGCCTGGATCTAATTTTTTCTTCTATTAAAGCCGCCGCGTTATCCTTTTGAACAATTGCGGGGTCATTCAACCGATTCGCGGCGAGTTGGCTCTGCAGGAACGATATTCTATTGAAAGTCTCGTTGGCCAGTCGATCGTTTTGTTCCTTGTCCAAAGCGACTTTACCGCCAGCAGCCTCTGTTTTGTTTCTCCCTGATTTTTGTTGCGGGGGGAAGTATCTCGAGATGTCTTTTTCGACACGAGTACCTTGGCCAGTAGTCAATGGTTGAGCGGAGAACCTCGAATGTTCCTTCCAATCGATAGGCTGATCGAACGACCTCGTATTTCTGACCACGTCCCGCTCGAACTTCGGCGGCGGTTGATCTCTGTTGCTCTTGGCGAAGAAGTTCGCGTTGACCGTGACCTTGGTGATGTTGCTAATGGCGTTGAATTTGGAGATCAAGGCCCGGGTGCCTCGCCTAGGCGACGAGGTTTCCATGGCGGACGCGACGATGTCTTGGACCAGCTCCTCGTTCATCTCGTTCCTCTTCTCGAACGCGTCGACTAACCTCGAGGACTTCAACAGCATCGAGGCTCTCGCGCGAGCTTGTTCTTCCTGAACAATGGCAGCAGCTTCCTTGTCGAGCTCGCTGATATTCGTCAAAATCGACAGGCCCGACTTCCTCTTCGCCTCCCTCTTCCGCTCGTCCGCTTGTCCGCCTCGATGGAAGAAGTTCAATCTCGACAGGGAGGCGTCCACCGAGTAGCTCGTGGAAGCAGTCGTGTTCGAGGCAGCGCATTCTTCTTTTATTTCGACCGTCGAGGTTGTAGGCCCTCGGAGAACATCGCCCCTTCTGGACGGTCCGGAATCCCGAGAATGTTCGAAGACGCTTCGTTTGTACCAAGGTCGTGGCATGGCTGTGCTCAGAGTTCCAACGGTATGGGTCGTCGACGGGCTGTCCCGAGGAATGGCAGTGTCTAACGAGTTCGAGCTCGTGTCTTTCGTGTTCTTCTCTTTCGCGCTCCGTTTAATCTCTTTCTTCGGCAGCAGAACTCCACCCTGAAGTACCAGCGTGTCGTTGCTGAGAGTCTGCACGTCCTCGCTGTCCGCTCGCGTTTCTACGTCCATTCCGCCATCGGTGAGATCGGTTTCGCGCTTCTCCGCAGGCGAATTACCGTCGACCAGCTTCTCGGGCGGTTTGGGCGCGCGTCGTTTCCGCCTGCTGCTGTTCCTCGGTGTTTCCCGTGCATCTACCTCCGTTACCTTGGCCGAGATTACCGGAGGATTAGGCGCTCGTCGCTTTCCCTTCACGTGCACCCTCCTGCGAACCGAGCCCGCGTTGCAGCTGGCTCTCCGGTCGTCCAACCTCTTCAACGACTCGACCAGTCGACGATCCGGGAACGATAGATTTCCGCAAGAATTGAACGTGGTCGACGGCTGCAGGGAATATCTGGCGGTGATGTCCCTTCTGTTGGTGGGCAACGTGCACGCCACGTCCGAGAGCTCGTTCTCTTTGTTGCCAACCGTAACTTTCGATGCTCCAGCAGCGAACGGGCCTACCTCCGCTGCTTGTTCCAGAATATCCAACGACAGTCGGTCGCATCTGCCAAGGGTTCCGGTGCGGAAGGCGAAACTACGCACGGTGGTAGTGCTGTAGAACGTGTCTACGCTCTCCACGCTCGACGAGATGCTTTGCTGTCTCCCGTTGTCATCGCCGTTCAACTTGTCGATCGTCTTCCGTCGTTTGTCCACGCTGGACTCGCGATTACCGGACCGTTTGAACCACTTGAACAAGGAGAATCTGGGTGTTCCGCGTCCCTCGTGAACCGTGGGCGCTTCTTGCTCTACGGACGCTTCCGTCGCGACGACATCCGACGTTCTTCCTTCCCGGTCGCTGATCCGTACGCCATTGGGGAATGTGTTCGCCTCGATGCTGCATGCGGCTCGCTGTACCATTCTTACTCACCGCATATCCCTCTCGCAGCCAGCTACGGCCTCCCTCTCCCCGTTCCTCATCCACTGGTCCGCATAGTTCTTTATTTAGATTCACTCGAATGTGGTTTTAACTTCCTTCCAGTTCGTCTATAGGTAAAGGCAAACTCGTGAAACCTTCGAAGAATCTTGCGGTATTCACACGCGCTCGACCATCCGACCGCCACGCTCTCAGCTACTCGGCTTCCTCAGTTTTCGCCCGTTTCTTCGACGCGTTACTCGCCTTTCCTTCTCCTCTATTCACCTGTCTAACCGTGCCACTCTACCGTACACAGGGCACTCTCCTTTAGTTTCCCGATGTTTAGGCGGTTCCAGCACCGAGGCAGGAAATTCAACAGACAACGAGAACGGCTGCCGGGTACGGGCGCAAACTTCTGCGGAACATCGTGTTCCGATCGAGTTACGCGTTTCCCCGGCGTGTACGTGCGAAGAATGTATCGCGGAACGGTAAATCGACTGACGAATTTCGCTGCGAAACCCGACGGGGACGCTGCCTAACACACGACAAAGATACTCTTCGGTTCGCTATTAATAGACCTGCCTTCCTCCTGCCGTGGGTTATTTTCACGTCTACTCTTGCTGTCTGCGCCGCGCTGTCCGAAATCAAAACAGAGAAATACGGCCGGCGTGGAGGTACCTACGTACGCGCGCGCCTTTTCAACCGCGAACATCCGCGTCGCGTTGATGAATATTCCTATCCACTATTCGCTGCAACTAGTTTGCTTAGGTGATTACTGAATCGAATATTCCGTATCGTGACTACTGTTATAATCACCGCCGTATGCTCATTCGGAGAGGGTTAAGTCTCAGATTCCTGTTGTCCAAACTCACTTGTGGTTGCTTGGTTCTAACATTGTTTATGGCGATGGAAGAGTATTTCTTACTAATTAATGTCTCTTTGCTTACTTCGATCACTTTTGATAGGATATTGAGTGGAGATTCAGATCTCTATTGTATGTGGTTTAGGTTCAGTTTGCTATATCTAGTTCTGTTATGTATTCTACATCATCACTATTATGATTCTTATATTAGATCCAAAGAATCGTTACAGATATTACAGACATGAAACCAGGGTACTCCGAATCCCAGTATGATAAAAGAGCACATACGTAAAATGAACGAACCAAGCGACAGTTAATGTAAATTAGGGTTTATTGTACAGTTTATCATAACTTCTAAATATAAATCGACTATGTTGCGAGATAACTATAAATCACGAATGACGCGCATACTTAATATACTATGCACCAGGCTTATGTACAAACAGCTTAGAGTGTCCGATTTACATCGTTGAAGAGATTTGTACGTTATATGCAAACTCTACTCGCCTACGGTGTTATTTTGGGATTTGACTAATCCCGTGAGAGGGCATGAACCAGTCAAGCGATGACCAACGTTTCGTTTCGAATTAGTCCACGATAAATGTCGTTTGCTTTTTGAGAAATATCCAAGACCTATATCATATGATAGATGACGTCATAACTTGAAGAGGTGTTGCCACGTGTTTCTGATTCGTCAGATTTTTTATTCTGGATCCACTGAAAATATTTTCCATTCGCTATAAATAAATAAGAACCGGGACTCAATAGAGGAGTGTAACGTCGCCCATTTTCCTTTGAGAACTTTTATTCTTTATTGTTCCTATTCGGTCCAGTTAAGGAAATTGACCTCATAAAATGAAACAGCGGCTATTTCAGTTCGTGACAAAAGAAGAGGGATACAAAGTTTCCAAGTAATCCGGTTATGTACCAACAAGGAACATTATAATTATTAGTACAAGCCTTAGCGGACAAAGGCGTAAGCAGGTAGCGACAATTTTCCGCCGTCTTCTTCGGTTCGGTTTCTCGCTAACAGGATCAACCCTACGGATAAGAAGTTTCTGTTTGGTCGAGAACGTGACTACCTCTCTCGTGGTTGTGTACACGCCATTAACGAAATTTTTCGGTGATAACCCGGCGCTTGCGGTGCCGCTCGCGACTGTTTGGAAATTAACCAAGCGAGTATTTTTAATTACATTTACTCGAGGAAGAAAGGCATCAACGAGAGAGAGGCGGTCTTTAAACGCTCCGCCTAAGTACGTTTGCTCAAGAGTTCCAGCGACGTCGGGTATCTCGAAAGCCAAAGCAGCTTCTCTGAGAGCCGAGAGCGAGTCCCGTGGTGGAACGCATTCGCGCGTATTTACGTTGGCTTGCACAGAACGGTGGCGATGCACAATGCCGTGGTGCCGTTTCTAAAAAAGATTCGTCCGTGTAAAGAGGCGACGAGCCATGGAAACGCCAACTGTTTCTATATTTTGTTTAATTACTCGACAACATTCAGAGTCGCCCACTAACGTCGTCGGTCGGGTTACTACCCTTGGGGTACGTTTACCGTTCTCCGTTAGAAGGTTTCGTTTAAACGAACCACGAGATAGGTGGGTATCTTTTTCTTTTTTCCCCTGGTACCGCCTCAAAAGGTAGCCACCGTTAAACAACTCCGTGTACACCGGGGCCGGCATTATCCGGGCGCGTTCGCGTTAGCATCTTCACGGCGCTTTTTAAATCTTCGGACTCCCAATTTTAGCTCCACGCATGCTTTCCTGAGGTTAACACGACACTGCATTTACTCGTTTGTATACGGGGAAATATCCTTTTGATGTACGACGAATTTAAATATATATATTGTCGCCTTCTACCATTTTATTATTTTATTACAGTTTAGCAAATGTACATTAATTGTTGGCAACACGTATTAATAATTATATTTAATTTGAACTTCTGTAGAGTAACCAGAATCTCCATTATTCTCAGAACGGTTAAACCAACTGTTTCCTTTACGTCCATTCCGCCTGCTATAACATCGAGTATAGCATCTTCCTGGTACTATTTCGTCCCTCTGATCGTAACTGTCCCACAGAGAAATTATCATCGGTTCTCGATTTCGTTCGATTATAACGAGCAGTCAGACGGCGAGCATCGAGCGACGTCGCCAAATAAAGTCTCCGAAAGGGCGTCCTCGAGTGTCCCGCACCGCGGAACGTCGCCATAAGCGACTCGTACGTCTGTATATACGTTCACGTTCGAACGGCACGATCGTGTTGGTGTTTGCGTGGTCTTAGCTCACTTTTATCGTCGGAAGCCGAACTGGAGCGCAAGAGTCTAGCCGTTGGGTGCACCCTCTTCTCTCGCTCGCCAACCCCTTCGCTTCTCTCTTATTCAAGAGTTTATTTCGCGAATCCACCCACCGCCCACTCGACTCGGCTTGGCTCAAACCCTGTTCCACGCTTCGTAGCGACGGCATATCGCGTCCTGAATACAAATCGCGATGTTTCCTTTCGCAAGTTCACCGAGACTTTTAGAACACGATCATTACCATTAATGAAGAAGTCAACGGTGCATCGAGGCCTCCGGTTAACCATCGTTTGCCATTTTATTCGGTCTTCGAGACTCCTTGTCAGAGTTGTTGCGGAGTTTTGCGGAAGCTATAGTTGATGCTATTTAAGAAAATATGCGGAACTAGACATAAGGACGATTTTAGGTTCCTATGCTGAGAGATCTGGGGATTAAACTTGTGGATTTCTTCAAGTATTCTAACGTGAAGGATTTCTGGACCTTGGAAGTTAAATTCGAAGATCCAAACTCTACGAATTCGATCTCGAAATTAAAACCTTCTCAAATTCCCATATTTCCAAAGGTCTAAGGGGCTAAATTGGGAAAGCCTGAGGCAAATGCCCTGTTTTGTCAGGGCTAACAACGGTATTGCCTCTCGATACTGCACGTTCGATTATTCTTCCGTTTTCCTTCTCCCTCTCGCTCGAGGAAGTTGTTCTTTTTCATAGGACGTACAAGGGGTTGAGGAAGTTTCGAGGTCGTTTCGAGATGCACGATTATTCCCTCCGGTATCAGACCACCGCCACCGGTATATCCACCGATTTACAATTTTTATGCCAGATTCCCAATAGAGCGCTACAAATCGCACAGCGTGTCGTTGAACTTTGGAAAGGTCGCCGCGACAGCGGTGTGGCGCCGCGGTATTGCTTAAAATTTAGTTACCCGCTTGGATCGGCTCCGATGTTTTATTCAGATACGAGCTGAACCTGTACACGCTTTATCCGGGAATCGGGGATACAAATTAATCGGGTACCATTTTTGCTACCGACCGCCAGCGGCAAAAAGTTCGCCGCTATGCGCGACGGGACGTCGATCGAGGCGGCGACGTCGCTTCATTTAGACGGGACTTCTTCTTTTGAGTCTTGAATTAAAATTAAAGCGGATATGCTACTTCTCGCTGTGCTAGAGCTGTCTTCATTGGGCCTCTGAAACTTTCGATACACTCGTATTTTGATTTGTATTCCTCTGAATTTTATATTCGTCAAAATCCATTGTTACATTTTTGATATTTCTCAAGTACCACGCGTGGAATTACGACGCGTGGAGTTACAGCTCGTGGAAATACCATGCGTGGAATTACGATATGTGGAATTACAGCTCGTGGAAATACCATGTGTGGAATTACGACGCGTGGAGTTACAGCTCGTCGAAATACCATGCGTGGAATTACGACGCGTGGAGTTACAGCTCGTGGAAATACCATGCGTGGAATTACGACGCGTGGAGTTACAGCTCGTGGAAATACCATGCGTGGAATTACGACGCGTGGAGTTACAGCTCGTGGAAATACCATGCGTGGAATTACGACGCGTGGAGTTACAGCTCGTGGAAATACCATGCGTGGAATTACGACGCGTGGAGTTACAGCTCGTGGAAATACCATGCGTGGAATTACGACGCGTGGAGTTACAGCTCGTGGAAATACCATGCGTGGAATTACGACGCGTGGAGTTACAGCTCGTGGAAATACCATGCGTGGAATTACGACGCGTGGAGTTACAGCTCGTGGAAATACCATGCGTGGAATTACGACGCGTGGAGTTACAGCTCGTGGAAATACCATGCGTGGAATTACGACGCGTGGAGTTACAGCTCGTGGAAATACCACGTGTGGAATTACAACGCATGGAGTTACAGCTCGTGGAAGTACCACGCGTAGAATTACGACGCGTGGAGTTACAACTCGTCGAAATACCATGCGTGGCATTACGACGCGTGGAATTACAGCTCGTGGAAATACCATGCGTGGAATTACGACGCGTGGAGTTACAGCTCGTGGAAATTCCATGTGTGGAATTACGACGCGTGGAGTTACAGCTCGTGGAAGTACCACGCATGGAATTATAACGCGTAGAATTACAGCATGTTCAACAAATTGTAATGGTGGTAATTGTCAAAATGATTCTTCTTGTAACGCGAAGTCTTCAATAATTTGATTAGGAAATCTCTAATGTAGAGCAGCCATCGAATACTTTTATTTTCTGACGTCGCTTTTACGGAAGCCTCTTCCGCGAGATATGCAAACGAACGCAGCCGTCGATGATTCTGAATTCCAAGACTATTTGATAAGAGATCGCGAAGCTTTCGATATGGAAATTTTATGGTATTTTGTGCTTATCGAGCTTGTTCTCTGACAGCTGGCAAAAAGAGAGTGCGAGCGAGTGTGAATTCCACAGAGAATGGAAGAATTATTCTGCATCTACTTCTACCATTATATTCGGTCGCATTTCGAACTATAATTAAACGATGAAGTATTAACATTGTTCTCATTATCAGAAATTCGTTAGAATGCTAGTAGGATTATGCATAATATTACACGGAATACGATTACAGTGTAACTCGGAAAAGCATGGTTATGGTAACACCATTGTTACGTTTTCCGATATCAAGTGCCAGATCTACGTGGACACCTCATGAGAATTGTTGAATAAACGCAGAGTGGAATTTAATCGACAAATACATTTAAATATTGTATGACTACCAGGTCGAACGCTGAAGGAAACTATGAAAGTGGCAAAGCCCAGGCTTAATTAAAGTGATCGCAGGTGCTCTTACTTCAAACGTGGAGACCATTGCATTGGGATCATGCGAAATTAAAAAGGGAATAATTGTTCGAGAAATGTAATGATAGTAGTCGATCGAAAGATTGTGAATAAGTGATCATAGTATTATTTCACTTCTATTCAAAAAAGTATTCGTGTAAAATTAAAAAGAGTCGTTAGTATTTCACTTTCTGTTCTATTCAAGGGAACGTGTAGATATTTTTATTTCTAAAATTTGGTAAATGGTAATGTTTCGATATACAAGTTAATATAACAACGGTTCCCGCAGTTGGAGAGCAAAGTAAAGGGAAGCCTTATATTGTGCGAGTTCTGTTCATCTTCAGACCGGGAGGAGAAGGACTCGCGGTACGTGAGGGAAAGTAGTTCTTAGACGGACTTCGACTTGTGTTGGGATCCGACGAACCCTTTGGCTATCTCCTTAGTTACACCGTTGTTCCGTACGTGAGCAAGATAGTTAGATTGTCTTCCACGAAGTTACCCACTGTACGCGAGATTAGACTCAGCTTCTCTTCGTGTCCATACGTACCGCAAGCTGTGAGAGCGTGCTTCTGCAATATCCGCAGTTACTCGTTGATGAATACATGCTGCCGTTGTTACCGCCGTCGACCGGATGGGAAACGGGATTCACGAAATAATCGCTGATACTCGCGTGCCAAATTACGTTCAAGCGCGTAAATTTGTTTTGCGAAGCCGCGAAATAAATTATGATAGGGACCCTCTCTTTGTCCCGCGAAAATTCGATTTCACCGTCGTTTTAGCGTTGTCACATTTGGCCGGTGGAACGCGTAACCAATTATCCTTTCGATAATCATAAAATTGAAAGCGGGACTTAACTGCCGTCGTCGATCGATGCGCGAATTCTCACGGAGGTTATCTTTCGGTAATTTTGTTGGATTTATTCGAAATATACTGTTACCTTAATCACTTATTTGTTTTAAATTTACAATGCAAAAGCATATGTCGCCATTTTGTAGCATCTGCAAAAACATATGTCGCCATTGTGAAAAAGTTCTCTACATAACCTTACTTTTGCATTTTTCCTTAAATAATTCGGAAGTAAAGAACTTATAGGATAATTGAAATTATTAACAACGATGTACTGGTCGATCAATAGCGTTACAAGACCACGTGATGGTTGAATTGTTAATTTTGATGCAGTCATGATTTCCTGCGGATCTTGGTTGTCGATGTCGCAAATGTTCGTGATATGTTTGACGTTGAAGATCACGCACAATATTAAATGAAACGCAATACGATTAATAGTGACGGCTGGTCATTCATCAGGAGCAATAGCAAATCGATTCTGATTATCATTGAGTACCCGAGGGAACGGGTTAACACTCTGAACGAGTGGCGGACACGTAGCGAACATAATCATGCTTATCGTTGTTTGTTCTATTTACGTTGAAAACAGGTCGGCTTCCTATTATTCCAGCGTTTGTTAGCAGCTAACAACGATACTCGACACGTTATGGATAATAATCAGGCCGAAGAGCACGCTTTTGCGCCCCCTTGTTACATTGTACTCCGGTAAATTCCACTTGTACGGTACAAGTTTCGATTCGTTTCGTTGGTATTCACCTGTTGTCGAATTAATAGTTATCCGGCTCGTATGTGAAAGGGCGATCCCCTGTGTGACACGTCGATGAAAACACGTTTATCGTTGAACATGTCGAGTCGACGCTTCAAACGTCGTGAAAGGTGAGCTTTTATTATTAATAACACGCGGCTATGTGCGCCGTCTATTAATTAGCATGAACGTTTAAACGCGACCATTTCGGTAATGATCG